AGTTACTACGGTTATCAGGTGCTGTGATGTCACATGCCCTCCCTGTGGACAGTGTTGAGTTTGACGATGAACCGTATGTGGTCATCTTATTCCTGATCCTGCCATGCCAATTGTTCTGTTTTAGGGGAATTGGGATGATCTAGTTTCCGCCAACTGTGGAACCACTTTGTTGCATAACGGAGCTACTGTGTATCATCTGAGTGATGGCCACAGTTATCTTGGGAACGGGGAATGATCACTTCTCCAAGAGGTCTGGACTATGCGCTACTTCCACTTGGCTGTGGATGCGGCTCGGAGCGTTTTCACGAAGGGCATTCTCCCTCCTAATGAAGGATCCCGTCATCTGCATCATGGCCTTGTATCAACTGTTTCGGACGGATATGGTGGTATCACAAAAGTCTCCGTAAAGGGGCAAGGGAATTAAAGATTGAATACGGTTAGAGGACAAAACATAGGGAGGGAAACGACCTTATCTTCGGTTTACCCTAGACGATTGTCACCTAGTCTCTTGTTTTCGGCCGACAAGCTCAACCCCAAGACCCCAATGTGAATGCGGAGCCGGAAAAGATATTTTCTGGGAAATGAACCCTGGAGAACACCAAAAGCCAAAGCAGCTGAGTGAGTGACAGCCGAAACCACTGGCGCAGGGTAGAATACTGGGCTCATAAAAGAAATGCAGTTGATTTTTGTGGTTGGGATGTCTACTGATGACTGCATGGTGGCCTGACACGTGCAACTGTGGCATCGCTGCTAACGCCTGGTTTCGATGAGTGGAATATTTCAAGTGAGGGCTTCCGAATGCGGAGAAACCCCGAATAGCTGCGAGACGAACGATTCACATTTCTATTCGGGGCGCACGATATAAGCTGAAAAGATTTTTAAAATCTTACCAGAATTTCCGACTGTCGAAGCACGGTCATGGCCGGCAGATTAACTGCGAATTTATTCCCGTTGGCCTGAGATTCTTGGTGAGACAGTTGTGGTTGACGTGATCAAAAGCCCTAAATAGTCGAGGTATATGGCCTCAGTTCAACACCAGCTATCAGTAATACTCGTCTAGCTGTCTACCAAGGTTATCAGATTATTGAAACATCCATGCCTGTCTAATCGCCTCTTGAACTGGTCGACTGAGGCAGCTATAACGATATGTCACGGTAAGGCATTCCATAAAGCACATACTCTTAGGGAGAAAAATTTGGACATGAGTGTGGTGTTCGCTCTCTGGTGTGCTATCTCAGCGGAGTTTCCTCGTGAAGATCGTTGAGTTGCAGACAAAATTGATTTGTTTGCATGGTCTGCCTGATGGGCGATCTTGTATGCCATAATAAGGTCACCCCTTTTCCTGCGGTGACCCAAGGCAACTAGGTTTAGGTGTTTAAGTCCTTCAGGACACGTCTTTCCCCTTAGCCTCACAACAGATTTCGTTGCAGTTCTTTGTATTCTTTCAAGGAGATTAGAGTCTCTCTTGAGTGTTAGAGAAGCCACCGTATCGAAGACCTCAAGATGCGGCCGCACGTAGGATTTGAAAATTGTGAGGAAGAGTTCAGGAGTGAGGGCGCCAGGCTGTCTACGCAGAAAGTGTAGAATGGCGCTCGCTCTGGTTGTCATACCTTTGTAGTTGGAGCTGGTGTCCAAGGTGTCGGAGGAGTTGAGCCCCAAATCTTTCTCCATGGACACTCTGGTGATAGCACGGTTGCTCAACACGTGCTGGAAGTCGGTCGTACTTGCCTCATTTTACTGATGTGCGTCACTTTGCACTTTTCCAGGTTGAAGCTCAGGCCATTTTCCGACGACCAGAGCTCGAGTCGCTGCAAGTCCTTCTGTAATGCTGTACAATCAGCTTCTTCGTTTACCACCCTCCAAATTTTTATGTCGTCAGCGAAGAGGAGGATGGGTGAGAATATTTTGTCTGACGGATCGTTGACAAACAGGAGGAATAGAAGTGGTCCTAGGATTGCTCCCTGGGATACTCCTGACGTCAAGGGCCTCCACCGACCTTATTCTGTTTACTTTAGTGCAGAACTGCCTCCCTTCCAGGTACTTCTCGAACCAAGAGAGTAGGGGTTCACTTATACCGGCTGACGTGATCTTGCGAAGTAGTACTGTGGGCGGGACGCTGTCAAATGCTTTGGCTAGGTCGAGAAATACAACATGTATCGGTTTTGTGTTGTCCCGGCTTTGTGTTCAGTCGTCCCAGGTGGTTAATAAGTCGGTGGCACATGAGCGACCACTCCGAAAGTCATGCTGATCAGTATGGACAGTGTTTTCTGCATTGAGGAATTCCCAGATAGTGTCAGCTACCTGGCTTTCCAACACTTTCGACACAATAGGGAGTACAGCAATTGGCCTGTAGCTGCCAGAGCTTTTTCTGTCTCCTCCCTTGAAGATGGGTGACAAGATGGCGCTCTTCCACTCCTTAGGGAGTTTGCACACGTCTATTGAGTGCTCAAAAAGGTTGCGAAGTGGTTTAGTAAGCACTTTGGCGCAGTTTTTTAGAACCACTGGTTTTGGGTTATCGCAGCCAGGGGACTTGCCTGGATGTAGCCTAGACAGTTTCTCGGACACTTTTTTCTCTGTAATAGAGACGTGACAGAGGTATTCGTTATTTACGACCTGGTAGGTGTCGTAGCTATTCGGTGTGGATCTTGTGCCGGTGCTAAGTTGGGCTTGGAAGCGTGAGCTCAAAAGCTGGGCAATCTCTAGACTGCCTGGTATACTCCCGTCATGGCCTGTGACAAGATTCCCTCCCTTACTAGTCGACTTTCTTCTCGACATGAAGCGGTGCAAGCTTTTAGGACTGTTTTGTAGCCTCGCCGCCAAGTTTGTTTGATAGGAAAATCTGACGCTGCCAACTCCAATGTTACAGCGGTGGTTCAAGAAGCAAGACTCCCTGCGTGATGTATGCCACTTGAACCAAGCCTGCTTCTGGCTCCGGATAAGCCTTTCCGTCCCATGCTTTAACCATGAGGTTCTTACTGATTGCCTGTGTTTCACTTCTGGTACACTGTGACTGATGGCCCCAGTGATTATTTTCTTCACCTCCAACCGGTGTTCATCTATTGTGAGATGGGCCCAATCTACCGGCCATGATGCACTCATGAGATAGTCCCTCATGGTCTTATAGTTGGCCTTGCTGTAGCAATGGAAGGTGTTGGGCGTCTCCAGTTGCAGAGCCTCCCTAGTAATCATGGAGAAGGTGATTACAGCGTGGTCACTGAGGCCAAGGGGAGGTTGGATGCAAACATCCCCAATAAGAAGTTCATCGTTCGTCAGAACGTAGCCAAGGCGCGATGCGTTTCCGTTAGGTCCTCAGCGTGTGGCATCACCCACTTTCTCTGAGAGGCCAGCAGCTTTAATTGTACCCTTCAGCTTCTGATTGAAGGATCTGATGCGTTTCCCTTCCGTCTCGAAGAGGATGGACGGGGTGTTGAAGTCGCCGGCAGTGACTATGGAATCGTAATTTGCAGAGGAAGTCGTTAAGATCATCTTGATGACCATTTCCTTATGTGTAGGGGAGCTGGTGGGGGACCGAAATATGACTCCGAGCAGGTATTTGGTACGGTGGAGAGTGGTTGGATGCATTTATGTGGATTCGGCTAGTGCAGTTTACCCAGAACGCAGCCAACGGGGTTTTCTTGGAGTCTGGTGCGCTCGCGATCGCTTTTCCATCTGTTGTGATACATATAAACTACAGTTAGTGGTTGATTTCTGCTGGAGTGGAAAGCCTCCAGGCAAGCTGCGTCCATGGGGGCAGACGGGGACGATAATTTTATTTACCTGGGCTTTGAGTCCATAGGCTCCTTACCCATACGGGAAAGCTTTTGTGCGAATGTACCTCCACGGTTCATAGGCATGTTGAGAAGATTCCACCTGTGTGTGTCATCAAGAGATTCTACCGACTTCGCGTTTATCAGACCTTCTTTGGCCATAAGATTCCTCCTCCAAAAGTTGGCCTCCCGATTGTCAACCGGGAGTTCTTTATGAGCCTTAAGTGTGGAATATTCGGGCGAATTCTTAGCTCATCTCTGATATTGATTAGGTGAGATACCAACCGGACATTCCCAAAGTCCTTAGAGCCTGGAAACACCATTCTCGTTAGCCTTTTTCCCTGTATTAGCTTAGTTTAAACTGTTCGACAGTCTAGTTGTTGCCGACAGTGAATTGACTTCCGCTTTAGTTGACGACATGTGTTATTTGACAACATCCGTTCATCCTTGTGCTGAAGTCTGTTGAGCAGCTAAAGACAGTTCGTCAAGTTCATAAGCATTACAGAGTAACGGCAATCTGGTATTCACTGTGCTTTGATGTTTTGTCGTGAACGTTTCAACACCAGGCTTGGTGACATCTTTGGCAGTGACTCAGTAAAAAGGATAAGAGAGCAGTCGCAGTTGACGGTGAGATTCTCCACTTTATGATGAGGCCCGGCTACCCGGTAGAAACCCTCGAGCTCCTTGCCTGCGTAATCCCTTGAGCAATGAAACCTGACTTCTCTACCAGGTTTGAGAAATACTTCCGATTCCTTCTTTACTAGTGAAACCATGAGTCTGGCTGCTTCGATCTTTTACTTGTCAGGCTTTGGTAGGAAATCCGTAGGACATGCGTCTTTTAGGGCTGTTGACACCCTAGGCCTGACTGGGATTAAAACTCAAATGGTTTTCCAGTATATTTTCACGTCTGAGGTGTTGCTAGGTACAAACAACTTGCCTAAGAAATCATAGTAGAGTAAGAAGAATTGCTTAGTTGGGCCACTTTTGTGGCTAAACTACCCTATTATCTAACACTAGCGGTCTTTACATATGTTCTCTTTTTCTAACTGCTAGTGACTTCAAACTTACTTTCACCATTGATATGACAGCAGAATGGCTTGACCTACCTCATCAGAGTCCATCGGAGGCCAAAAGACATTCCACAATATTTAGAAGCGTGTATGAATAAACTAACTGATAAACATTACCGTGCAAGCTAAATATCGAAAATTGGAATATTGAAATTGTAAACACATTTTGGTTGGTGCGTTGCGGTCATACCAAAATTTATTTGCTTTTACATACCTATGAACATACTACATGCATACTAATATCGTCAGTTATCTATTGTTTTCTACCCTATGATCGAGAGCGAATATGCGCTTACACATGTTCCTATTGTTCCTCGCAAGAAAAGGAAGCAAGTAATGTATAATTTTTTAGCATTCTAATTTGTTCTAGCCTGAAAAACCTCCTAATCAACATGCCAAGGCAGCAGAACAGTTACTTAAAAAGTTAGGAAATCCGAAAAACGCCTGCCGTGTAAGTTGGTATAAAATGTGTCATATATATATATATATATATATATATATATATATATATATATGCATGAAACACATGTTTTGTGGTAGTTATTGATATTTAGTTCATAAATACTGCAGTCTATGGTTGTGTTAGATGAAAATAGACCCGGAATGCTCAGAAATTACTCGTATTCAGCCCTTAGTAGCATTGCGTAGGACCAACTCAACTCGGAAAAACACTGGCACACTTTGGAGTTTTCGAGAATACAGATATGGGTATGGGTACACCAATAGATGGGCAACATTTATCCTTCAAAATCTCCATCCTGATATGGCAGATCTGAGAAGTGAAAATGAGGACATTCAAGTAGGTGCTGTTGATCAGATTATTGTTGTATTTCCGCAGATATTTTACTTAAAACCTGTTCTAATAGTATTATTGTGTAGCTTAGCTCAAGAGCTTTGTGTTAAATCATTAATTTGTTTTTGTAGGTTTCTTGATTCCAAAATAACTTACTTTTAAAGGGAAACAGAAATCATGCATGAGTTCATTTCCTGTGTGTAAAATAAGTTATTTCGTTTTCGTGAATCATGGCGCGATGTCAATAAATATGTTGTCCAAAAAACTAAAATCACTTTAGCATCAGACTTATATTCCGCATACGATTCAGGTTATATCAATTTATTTGCATTTTTAACACAATGTTTTCCCTGAAAGATATTAGATGTGCTCAATATGTCTGAAAACTCAAAAGTACACCCAAAGTTACCGAAAAATTTTAATTATCCTTTGGGTTGTCTGGAGTATATAAAATGCTCCTAATATCTTTGCCGACTGACAATAGGTGGTTAAAATTTGAAATCTATGTCTGATTATTTTAATTTAAATATTGATGTATTAGGAGCATTTTAAATTACTCATGAAGTGTTACTATTTAGTTTTGATACACATTGTTAAACACTTGCCAAAATTAGAAAATAATGTGAGACCGTGTTCTTCCGTACACACAACCTTATACCTAAGGGTGCAGAATAATAATTTTTTTCTGGATGCTCAAGTACCTGAGCGTTGCAAATAAGTTAGACTTTGTGATCAACAAAACTACACGTACACTTACAACTGAAACTGCTATATGAAAGCAGCTGAATATCAGCGTCGAAGTAAAGATTATTTGTCAGCATGTTCAGCATAATTTGAGAGTCAGTCATTCAGTTTTCCCCGTGTAGAGTAAATCGAACGATAACCGTCATGTACAGTTAATCATGTATCAATCTATTATTTATCAGCATTAGTTATCAAGAAGACAAAATTCAAGAACTTATAAGCTTCGTTCACTTTATTTAATGAATTATCACTTTAAACTATTCATCACCATTTCAATCGACGTAAACAATCCCTTACAAGTGCGCCAAACAAAGCTATTCGCCAATGGAATAACTGATATTTTCTCGTTGCGTCTGAGACAGGTGAAGCAGAGCCTCACACAGAAGTTCATCGTTTCAACTTGCCATACTTCACAGTATTATACAAAGTGAATAGAACAAAACTGATATAAAAGTCGTCAAATTTGTGTGATAGAATAAACACTTCGAAGATAAAAGTTAGCGCACATATTCAAGCTTTAGAAAACATCAAGAAATAAATATATTCACGCCACCATGACCGATTTTACACCATGTAACCATAAGTCGTCAACCGCTAATTCCTTTCGTTTTGCAGACCTCACTCAGGTAGTCTGCATCTACCCACATGGCTCAGACTAAGAGTCACACATCATCGACCGGTGCCACAACTTCTTCTGGTCATCCTGAGCCTCCTTCCACTCAAATCCACATTCTCCTAGTATTACACGTCGGTTTAGGCTGTGGCTTGCCATGTACGGTACGTGTCAAAGCCACAGTCGTTGAACGTTCACAACTTCGTCGATCAACTTATCTTTCTTGCCTAGTACCCTTCGCCTGACGTCAGCATTGCTCATTCGGTTCCTTACGTCCCGCTACTAAATGGATTCACTTAAGGTTAGGATATAACATATTGCTAGGTCACTGTATGATTTCGTTCGGCTAGTAAATGGTTACAGAATTCAGTAATGCCATGTAGTCCTTCGATACTATTTCACAGGGCTAATAGGTGGAAGGTAAACATGGGACTTACTGCGCAGAGACCAACTGTTGACTCCATATTTTCAATATATGACTAAACCTTGGTTGATTTCCAGTAAATACTATCAGAGTTGTATTTGGTTATATGTGGTCCGGACTCTGTTTGTTCCTTGTATTGTAACTAAGATGTAACCTGCTTCTAAATATGTTTTACATCTTTTCTCCCCAAGTCTCCTATCATGTATATTTGTGACCTATTGTGATGCCTTTGTTATTATGTACGCCTGTTTCTCTTAGCACACTACTGTCAGGTGCAATATATTTTCTTATGAAATTGACATTATCGGACTAATATTCATTCAAGAGGCTCTTCAACCTTTCCTTTCACCCACTAGCTAATCACTTGTGAATTCGATGAGAATTTTCTACAAATGTCTGGTTTATTGACTTCCCTAACATCCAAACTAGAAGCTAACTGGCAGTCTTCAACTCTACAATATTTACACTCTGCTAATGATCCATTAGAACAGGGTGTTTCACAACAATTGCCACCTTTAATTCAACCTAAAAGTGTTGGACTGAACGGTCCCAATGGTTCTGTACCTACATCGTTTTCTTTCACATGGACACGTTATCAACCAAGATTAGAAGTATCTCCTCAAGAAAATGGATCAGAATTAAATGGTAATGCTACTTTTTCTTGTTGACTATTGTGTTTTTATGTTGTAAATTTTTTTCAGATAATTACTGGTAACTTGGTGATTGCATCACCGAAGCAAGTAAAATAAAGTGTGGTTCACTGGGTTGACGGCACCTATGTGGTGGTATCATTGAACCGATACACCCTTGTTCAGGTCTGAAGCCTACCTAATTTTCTCGAGTTTTCTGTTCACGAGCTCCAATTAGACGTCGGATAACTATGGACCCCGTAGCATCTTTTGACTCAGTATAAGTCAAACTAATTCACCTATGATTGTAGCAGAAAGGCTTCCCTTCCTTCTTATAGACTGGGATGATTAAAGAAGTAGCCTAGTCTAACGGCACTACCTCTGATTCCCATACACTACTTAGTACATCCGTCAACCTAATAAGCAATTTCCTGCCTCCATCCTTGAAGACTTCAGTTGGCAAAGTGTAAGGTCCTGATGCTTTCCATCGTTTCAGATTCGATACAACTTTCTCAAATTCAAGGAGAGTTGGAGGACCAACATCTACTTCTCATTCATGTTCACATTGGATGTTGGGCAAGTGAAGCATTACTGAAGGTCAGTGGAACTGTGCTTCAAAGTGTTATACCCAACGTTCTAGTCGCCTTCCGGGAAGATTATCAGCGTTCCATCCTTTTCGGTTATGGTTTCACTAAGCACTGTCTTCTTACCGGTATCCTTAATAAGCCTAAATAGTTTCCGAGTGTTGCCTAGTGCTGATGTTTTCTCCATCTCTCTCGCCACCCACCACTGCTCGCTATCATTTCGAAAATCTATTCACTTTACATCTAAGCTGCTTTCGCTTTTCATCGTGGTCAGAGCCAGCTGTAATCAGCCTTCTGGCATCAATCAGTCTGGATAACGTTGCAGAAATCCAATGATGTTCACTAACCTTCTGGTGTAGGCCACCAACTGTCCTTACCGCTGTTCCTACTTCAGACCTAATATCACACCAGGTTTCCTCAGGATGAGAATTACTGTCACGTCCAGACAAATGCTCAGCTAACTGCTCCCTAAATACGTGCTCCGCGTTTTCATCTTCCAGTCGAGCATAGACAGGCTTTACTATCACTTGTTTCCTGCGACCAGTAAGGCACAGATATACACGAACACGCACTAGTGCGTGATCAGAGTCCAAAAAACTACTCCACAAACAAAGCGGTCCTACACCAATCCTCTCCAACGGTGTCTTGTAGCAATATAATCTATCTATGTTTGCAGACCGCATGTGAAACGGTGTCTCTTTTTATACTTAAAGTTAGTGCGGGCTAGAAACAAGTGACTTTCAGAACAGAGTTGCAAGCGATAAACATCTTTGTCGGTTCATTGGCATGAGATTCCATAGATTCTCCCAAGGTGCCTTTCCGATCGGCTTCCCTACTCCAGCGTTGCAATCACCTGCCATTATGACTACATCTGAACGTTTTCCTTTCCGTAGCGAAATCGACAACCTAGTATAGAATTCATCCTTTGCATCATCCGAACTGCAGTTGGTGTGTGTGCAGGCGGAAGTTACGAATAGGCATCGGTCAGTATCACGATCCTTCCTAGTTGCTACAGATCCGTTCAGTTGAACAGCATCCAGACAGCTGTTTACTGGTTTCCAGTCGAAAAGCGCAATTTCTGCCCTATAGCTGAATGTCATGTCTACAACAGCGAGTCCGCGAGAGCTAGCCATTGAGTCTCCGCATACCGGTTAGGTGAATTTTAAAGGTTCGTCTAAGTGGTCAAGTGAGGTCAATGTAGTAACCACGCCCGGGTCCTGTATGTGTCTCAGAGACAGCATACATACATATCTGGATGTTCCAGAGTTCGAGTGAGCGATGCTTGCTGTCCAATTTGGCATACACTTGGAACTTTGAAAGCTCCCACATGAAATAGATGGCGGAGCCTAGGAATAAGGTTTCAATGGCTTTGATCGTTGGCATTGATTGCAGAGTGTGAGACATTGAGTAAGGCGTAAGAGGTTTAATGTTAGAATCAGGAGGTGAAGGCAAAGAAACAGACAAAGTTAAGGAGAATAGGTTATGCTTGATTTGGTCTTTTGTAGTACTGAAAATGTGTGGGCAGTCGACGCTTCCCGACTGCCCACACCGTGGAAGGCTATTTCTTCTTAAGGTACCTGAAAGTGAAAAAGGTTTGTGACTGCAGAACCCAGGGGACATCTGCTTGATATCTATCATACAGCCTTTTGTAGGTTGTTGTTCTGAGATTTGTTCGCCCTAACACCGGTCGGAGAAAACCCATACCGTCAGCAGCGGAAGACCGTGGTGCAGAGAGGAGTTAGCTATCTTTTGGGGCCGACCTTCTGTAGCCCTCCTTCCTACAGAGAAGGCAGCGTCAGTGTAGCACTGCTGATCATAAAAAAGAAGAACCTTACTGGTTTCACCCTCCAGCCAGCCAACCAGCAGTACGACTTCGCTCCCAGACCCCCTATCATAGTGTAGCAATTTACACTACAATGGTAACTACTTGTTGTCTAACCACTATCCAACAGACTTTTCTGGCATGGTAGGACCCTGAGAGAACAAGCGTACCACCCAGTGTAACTCTTTGAGTTATTGTGGTACACAAGCCCGACCACCACATGTGCAGCCATCGGTCGAGTAACCAGCCAACCCGTTGTATAGAAGCTGATGAGCCTACTTGCCTTTCTAAACCTCGGTATGTAGAGCTGGTTTTGAAGCCATGATTCATTAGTTGAAAATCGAGTGCCTGAACTGATGAACCACAATCTCAGCTGCTATTTTCTGGTTGTTTTTGAACACCTCAGTCATATTCGGTTGTACGCTGCAAATACGATCCTCATTTAACATTTTCTTTTTCCATATAAAATCCCGGATGAATTGCTCATAAACTTTGCAGTAATAATAGATAGAACTCACACTCTTCACCCGGTTGTAAAAGAAAGCTGAAAATGATCAAATCAAGGCATGATACCAATTTGTGGAGTCTTTTATTGTTGATCCGATCTGTGTGGAGGGAGATGTAGGCCTCTGTCTGAGGCTTGAAGACTGTAGGTGTTATATCTCCAAATCGACCGTAATATCATTGATGTAATTATGCTTAGTCTTCGCCTAAATCGTGAAGTCGTATCTGCTTGGCTTATACACACACATACACTCTACTTGCAAGCAATGCGTCTGCTGGATTCGAATCCCGCACCACTTAATTGACCTTAGACAACCAGTTAGTTACATTGTTTGGTCCCTGAAGGGCAACCAATTTCATGTTATCTAGTCCTGAGTGCTAACGGAATTGTATCGATCATTTTGCAATATGGTTATCATGCTAAGAGGCTCAGCATCCCGGTACACTTGGTTGGGTGCAATCAGTAGGTAAGCACTAGACCTAGGTTTCACGCCTGTCGACACTCATCAACAAGGTGTATCTAGAACCTCAAATGGAGTGGTGTCCCCTCTGAGAATCACACCCTCGTTTCTAGGTGTTGTAGTCTATGACGTTACTACTGAGGTATTCTGACCGTGATTGACCTCATGCAGGATCTGTCACCATTGTCTTGGTACATGAAACATATACCAGGCTGAGTTGCAACATCACCACTCATCTAAAGCGTAATGTCAAATATATTTATGTCTTTTATCTTATTTTTCTCGTCGTTTTCTACAACTTATGATATAGTTAGTCATTTTCTTGTTTATCCTGGTTTTTCCAACTCCATTTTGATATGGTCATTTTAGCTGACTTCTCTATCCGTTTGTCTACAACGTTTTTTTTTTACCATTAGCTCTATACTTACCTAATTTGATCTTTACTGATTGGTTATCATTTGAATTTGTAGCGTTCTACTAAGCATGTAGAGTGTTAGAAAATTGAAAGTGGAGAAGTCCATTGTTAAACAGTTGTTTTAGCCTATTGAAGGTCCGGGCGTGACGAAATAGGTCAAGTATACAGGCAAGATTACTTAGAAATCTTTGTTAGTTAGATAGAGATTTCGTGCCCGGTGTTGGCACGCATATCTATAACCTCGATAGGACTGATTTCCTGCCTGTGATTCGAACTCATATCACTCAATGCTGTAATCAAAGACATTCCCACTGAGTCATTATTGGCCTCCTCTAGGATTGGCTTTTATATATTGATTGGTCACTGGAGAGTAATCAACATCATGTGCTGATCATCTTCATTTGTCCTTTACTCCGTGTTAGATAGCACAAGTTACTGAGGTGGCTTATCTAAAACAAAAAGCCTCCATAACGACAATAACAACATTCGGTGTTAACTTTGTGATTACGGTCAAAATGGTTACGCCAGTTAGTGATACAAGAAGATACTATATTACTTGTATGTGTCATATGTATGTCAAAAACTCCTGCATAACTCTCTTCTTGTAGGAGAAAATATCAACAAATTGTAGGTAAACTTGTGATAATGAAACAATTCAAGCTGTTACACTTCGAAATCATGTCGAGACACACAGATAGAGAAAAATAGGAACAAAGAGAGCGAGAGAAAATCAATAAGATAATCAGTGAATGAATATGAAGTGCAACTGGGATTACCTTAAACCCCACCAGTCAGTTACTCTATGGATAATTGGTGTTTCATCTTTGGCTTTAAGTATGATCGATCTACTACTTGGACATTTTCTGGTTGACTTGTAGTATGCAGACAATATTAACCTGCTAAGTTAAAATGCTGACAAAATCCAGGGTCTTTTGTACCATTGAGAAGATATCTGAGTTTGTTTGACAAGCGTTTAGCTTGCATCTCTCAAATGTAAGATGATGGTTAAGGACTGATCTGATGCAAATACTCTTAGGTTAGTGCAAAGGAGTGAAGTGGTGAAATGTGTCGAAAACTTCACTTATATGAGGGGTTGCATAAGCGCAAACAGGCTAATCGCTGATGAAATCTAAGTTCAAAAACGGAAGGCCTATTTGACATATGCCAACTTGTGTCATCTTTGACGCCGACAGGTGAGATATCCGACTATGTATCAAAAGAAAAGTATACTACACTGCAGTTCGTTCTGTCCTGGTATACAGCTGTGAGACATGACCATCACAAAATTGTGATCACAGATGTCTTCATGGTATTGCTTTTGTTTGGTGGAATCACCGTGTGAGCAATGTTGAGGTCAGTCAGGCAAGGGGTACTATGCAAGACAGGCAAGTTGATTGATGAGGTTGTGAATCTCCATCGAGTGAGATGACTTAGACATATACTCCACTGCACATGCTGAGGTATCCCCTACCTCGATGTACCATACATACTTAGCGAAGTTAGATTAGATTGAGAGAGGGTTCAGGGTGACTAGATCAAGACATGGTACCAGTTGAGGATGTCTCTGACTGTTGATCTGGGCCATATTGGGTGGTCAAGACTATCTGTCTGTAGTCTCTGGGACGATAGGAATCGATGGTGGAGAACTCTTGGTGATATGACTGGAAATCGGTCACAATGGTTCAGATGTATTCACTCTATTTGACGTCTTCCAAAGCTGGAATGTTCGCATTGACCATTATCTTCGAATTGTTTATTTTCTCACACAACTTTGTCGACCTTGGTATAACTTTTTCTGTCTACCCGTTCTTTATATACTACTATGAAGTGTGACAAATTTAGCCAATCCACTTGAGTGCGACGTTCTACGTTGTTTTTGTCTCTCTGTCCCGCACTACGTGGCCCTAGCTAACATCAACTAATCATCTGGGTATATAGTAGTGACTCAGTGTATGTCGCAAACTTCGTGTCAAATTCTATCTTTGTTAGTAGGATTGTATAGCCTGTTATGTTCATCCCTAAGTTAAAAGCCAGCCCTACGGCCGGTGACGTTTAATCGACCTGCGAAACTGCGGAGGGAGGGATTAGGAGATCAAAATAGTGAGTGGTTGAAACGTGACCATTCATTGCAGGTTTATCATTTCTCTTTAAGAAAAAAAGAGAACTGATTTTGTATTCGTAATCTTAGGTCACGGGAAAAGCAAGACAGGCGTTCATTAGCCTGAAACCAGTGTGGAGATCTTCTGCACTCAGCATGTGGAACATGATACGGATTTTCAACACCAACGTCAAGTCAGTGCTTCTGTATGGCTCAGAGACTTGGCGCGTCACGAAAGGGATTTCCAATAAACTACAGACATTCATCAACAACTGCTTACGCTGGCTCGATACTGAAGATCAGATGGCCAGAATAATGAGAATAAGCAACAAGGAGCTCTGGGAACGAACCAACCAAGAACCTATCACTCAACAAATATACAGGAAGAAGTGGAGATGGACTGGGCATGCACTGAGAAGGCCGACTGAGGACATCACGTATCAGGCCAGTTGCTCGAGTGGAATCCCCATGGGAAGCGACGAGTTGGACGTCCGAGGGTGACATGGAGGAGGTCGTGCGAGGAGGGAATGAGAGCTTCTGGGTCGTCGTGGAACCAGATTCAAAAGATCTCAGAGGACAGAGGTCACTGGAGACGTGCTACTGAAGCCCTATGTTCCACTAGGAACCCAAGGGACTAATAATAATAAAATAATCTTAGGTCACGACTACCTTGCCAAACTCCCAAAGAAGGATGACCTAAGTCTTTGCAAGAACTGGCTCAAAATCATGCTCCTACCCACCCCAACCTAAATATTAAGCTCCATCATCCTGGAGAGACTAAAAGATGCTCTGGATACAAAGTTACGACTGGAACGGGCTGGCTGGCTTCAGGAAGAACAAATCATATGAGGATCAAATTGCAACACTACGCTACGCATCATCATAGAACAGAGCATAAAATGGCAGTCAACTCTCTACCCGAACTTCATCGATTTGAAAAGGACGTCGACAGCGTCGATCGAAAAGTAATTTGACAGGCAGCTGCTTCAACACTACGGAGTACTACAAACCCTTATCAACCTCATTCAACAGCTGTATGATGCTGATGCTACATGCCAAGTGATTCACAGTGGAAAGCTCAGTGATGATGATGACGATGATTTATGTCTAATATCGCACAAACTCGAAGATCTACAGGCGAAAACTAACAAGTTGGCAGAAGAGGTGAAGCAGCGAAGACGGGACTTCCTTCAGATGAATGTAGAGAAGACAAAGGTGATGAAGATGCCCAGCCAACAACAATAAGCGCTAATTAATATCAAGGGGAGAAATCTAAAGGAAGTTGTCTCTTTCACCTACCTTCCACCTAGGCAGCATCGTCTCAACTTCAGGCGGCGGCATAGATGGGATTGGAAAAGCAAGACGTGCCTTCATTAACCTGAAATCAGTGTCGAGATCTACTGCACTGCATAGCACTCAGCATAAAGAACAAAATCCGGATTTTCAACACTAATCTCAGTCAAGTCAGTGCTTCTATATGATGGTTGAGACACTTGGCGCGTTAGGAAAAGCATTTTCAGCAAACTGTAGAGATGCATCAACAGCTACCGCCTACGCTCACTACATACTGAAGGTCAGATGGTCAGAGAGAATAAACAACAAAGAACTCCAACCTGGCAACGAACCAACTGATCAAGAAGCTATCGTCCAACAAATATGTAGATGGATTGGACATACACTGAGAAGGAATACCGTTTAGTAACATCATGTACCATGCCAGGCCCTTGAGTGGAAGCCGAATGGGAAACGACGAGTTAGGCGTCTGAGGCGAGGGTAACATGTAGGAGATGGTGTGAGGAAGAAATGAATGAAAGCCTATGAGTAGTCGTGGAGTCAAGTTGAAGAGACTGCAGAGAAAAGAGTGAAATGGCGACGTGCTATGGAATCCATATGTTCCACTAGGAACCCAGGGGACAAATGACAAATAATGAAGATAATAATCTTAGGTCGCTTCTTTATGAAGGAAATGAAGTGAAGAGCGGTAAATTGTCATCGAAATTGCTACACCATAAGTCATACTGTCTGTCTAACGAACAAACTAACATTGAATTAATGACATATACTGATAATGAATAGCTTGAGTAGTTAAAAACCTCTCAAGATGATCTATGGATTTCTCTAGCCAACCGTATCAGAGTGATCTAAACAACAGATAATCATTTCACTCGTTTGAAGCTGAGCTCATCACAGGTGTATCCGGAGAAAACTGAATTGTTCATATCATCTCTGAATCTGTCTAGCTAACTGACTTGCCTGAAATAGGATGATCAATTTACAAATAAATTTCACAGCCCACATTGGCCTTCCTCACAGTGGAGTAGTTTTTCAACTGTGCTGTCAACAGGGTTTCCTTTAGAAATTACTCAACGGCCGAAATCTCATAGAAAAATTTCACGAAATAACAAATCGAAAATAATATTTTGTGTATGTATATATGTGTATCACTCAACCCTCTATACTTTTCATGCTCTGAGCTTATAAGTCGCACTTATTGTGTGATACTGTACAGTACTACCTTTTTGCCTAAACTGAAGTAAGTTCTCCGGGGTTCGAATCAAGGACCTTTCTCTGTAAAACCTTATAAATTACTTCTTAACTCTTCTAGTATTAGCGTATTAATTAATCTTCTTCGATTTTTTGTTTTTTCCACAGATAACCAATCGTCTCCTCGTATTAAACTTGATCCAATCGTTGAACCAGAAGTTGTCATTCTACTAACTACTGATCAAATAAAAAATTTACTAGTAAAATCAACTAGTAACAATAATAAGCAAAATGTACACAAAGTATGTTTATCTTTGATTGGATTGCATTGTTTTATAGGAATACAAATTTGATTATTTATCGCCACTAGTTATATCCCAGTGATTGTTATACTGCTTCGAATCGATGATGTGTTGGTGGTGATATATGAACCCGCACGCTTTCAGTAGTAGTGTATAAAACCCAATCAAATATACATGACCTATCCTCCTCAACTCTGTCTCCTCCTTTGACTTCACCTCCTGCTTCTTTCATCTTCTTCAACCGATCACTCTGTGACCTCTGCCATCGAAATCTTATACTAAGTTTCATAAGACTTCACCATCGATTGGATAATCATCGTATTCATGCCACCTCCAACTGTATTTATGAATTCACATACGCCTGCGATGACGAGTACAACGTTGGAAGGATTAAGAGAAGGGTATCCATTCGGTTCTCGGAATATATCCACAAGAATTTGTGCTTGGAACGAAGTAAAATTCCAACCAGTGCTAGTGTTCATAAGTGCAAAGTACTCTTTCAAGATTGGAAGGAGCCTGTACCTGCGCTCACCCTTGATGTTGAGCTATTGGAAGTAGTCGGAAAATTCGTGTATCTAGATAATTGTGTGATTTCTGGTGGAGATGTGAGTGGTAAAGTTTCCAACTGCATATTGAAAGCCAAAGTGGCATACGCCAATCTGGATCATCTTTGACGCCATCACGACATTAGTCCGATTGTAAAAGGTCGGGTTTACAACGCTTCGGAGGGAGCAGTTCTGCTCTATACCTGTAAAACCTGGCCCCTCCAAGCTAAGGATGTGCAAAAACTCTGTGTCCGACCGCCGTTGTCTCCGTAAGATTGCTCGTATCCAGTGCCAACACTATGTAAGTAATTCTGAGGTACGACAGTGTGTGTTTTGCCAGATTGGAGATCATCATTCAATAAGTGAAGTTATCTGAAAACAGCGACTTGGACATGTGTTACATATGTTATCCCAACGGCTTCCACACTGTTCATTGTTTACTAACCCTGGGACTGAATAGAAGGAGTGGAGGGGTGGTCAGTGCATGATGTGGCACCGTGGGATGAAGGATAGTTGCATCGGGTTGACATCTGTTGGTGCATCACGACTCTCTGGGTGAGGTCCAAGAGATCATTTGACTCAGCGATCTGAGACGTTATCAGGTACCGCTCCGAAACGAAACCAGTGACACTCATTCTGTAGCTTTCTTCTATCTTCTGCTGTTGAAAGGTAATGAATGTTTCGTTTCGAATGTAATTTACTAGACTGCCCTTCTAATCATTCTGTTCTTATTGTGTTTTTCTTCTTAACTTATCCACTTCCCTTCGCTTTATGTCTTCATAATGTTGTTATATTATTTTGTATGGTACATTTTTTTGGTGCCCTTGCTGTATCATGTTTGTCTTCTAATAATATAAGGGGAGACACCTCGTAGACATAGGACATCAGTTGATACCTCGAGTTTAGTAATAATTTCCAACTGACTCTTATGCTCACTCAAATTTCTTCATGTTCCGTTCTGTCTTGTAAATCATCAAGTAGAATGTATTTACAATCCAGTGGATGATAGTCTCCTCGTTGGGACTCGAGCTTAGCATCAACTCACTAAACTACTTAGTCACAATACAGACTTTAACTGGTGTAAATTTCCTCCTTCAAGTGGTTGGTCAAACATACACACACACACACATACACAAGTGATTGGTTCATCAAGTCTAAAGGGGTTAGTTATTAGTAACTTGTTTGTCAAGTAGTCGGTTACACAGGTTCAAATGATACTTGATCCAATTTCTCTAGAACAGGTGCTTAGATAGTAAATAACAGAATTAAGCATAATTATTAAGTTGTATCATTCATGAGAAGATTGTAGAAAGAATGAGTAAAAGCAGTTGAGCATATCAATTTAAATGAATTACAAGTCTAAATTCTATTTCACATTTTAACGATTTCGATTGTTAGTTATTACTGTCAAGTGTTATAGAGTAAACATGGCTTAAAGTCTACTATACACAATTGTCTAAAGAACTAAAAAGGTTTTAGTTTTTCAAGTAACGTTGCATTCATGTCGTGAAACCGCCTAGTTATTAACTCAAGGATCGTGCCTAAAGTTGTAGATAAGACAGAGATAAGTCATCTGATAAGGTTGAAAACTTTCATTGACTCGAGTGACTAGGAGATGTGTTATGTGTATGTCTGTAGTCACCGTCTGTATCCCGATGTAAAATATGAACGGAAGTAGTTTTATCATAGGAAAAGGGTTATTGATGATCAAACTCAAATATGGCATCAATTCATGAAGTATTTAACCCGTATATATCTGAGTCGTGTAAAGAAATGTAAACCCTCTAGATTGGGGGTTCTCATGACAATCAAAACCGGTGTTTTAAAACTTGAAGTAAATGGGATTCAGAATAGATCTCATTGGCCCAAGGCAGACGGTGACTCATGCATGCATAACACATGTGTCAGCCACCTCAGTCGATGAAGTTTCGTGATCACATCAACTGACTTTCCTCTTCATAAAACTCTACACCTGACTTCTACGTTACTGAGGAGGTGACACCATGACATACAGCCCATGCTACGAGGGCGGTGGTGGTCAAACAGACAGATAGTAGAATAGAACGAAGTGCAACACTGTACAGTCGACTCTTAATAGGCAACCGAATATCGCGGTGGAGCTACAGATAGCGTAGGTTAACAAAAACCAATCAAGCCTGGCTGTCTTAACCTTCATATGTGGCGCCACCACCGACTGAAGATTGACTGTCTAAAGCTAATGAGTTATAATCAATTTTCTCGTGATGGTATATGTTTAGCAAGAAATTGACTCATAAAATCCAGTTTTGTTGAGAACCTCCATCGAAAACTCCTTTTAACTTTGTATTCATCTTGGTGACTAGCAGTGGAATCCAGGATGTGCGTTTTATCCTATTTGGGACTCCTCAGCTGGATGTACCTGGACTCTGGCGAGTGATGTTGTCCCCACTAAGACTCGAAACCCAGTATCCATCGCTTCAAACGCCAAAGTGTTATCTACCAGGGCAACAAGTATCAGTTGTTATTTATTGCCTGATTCCTCACCAGATCGATTGTTATCACTTTTTGGTTGATAGGTATACTAAGCAAGGAAGGCGAATCAGTTGATGAGGTTTTGCACATGCAGAGACCCCGCTTTCCTAGACGTGTAATACTAAAGGAAGTTGAATTTGGTCGGAAGAGGGTTAAGGATGGTCAAACCAAGACGTGGCACCTGTCAACCAAGTCTCTGACTGTTGGTCTGAATCGTCTGGAGGAGATTTAGAGTGTATGGTTAGGATCTCCGAGACGATGGAATTGGCGGTTGAGGACTCTTCAGGATATCCTTGAATATTTACACTAACCGTTATCCTCATATTCTTTATTCTCTCACACAACTTTGTATACTTTGATATCACTCTTTTTCTATCGACCTGTTCTTTGTGTACTACTGTGAAGTGTGACAGCTTGGTTCGATGCACTTATGCACGAGTTTCTAGGTTGGTTTTATTTATTTGTCTGTCATCTGTATGTACTACTTATATGCATTCTTATAAGTAGTTCCCGTTGCATTTCAGCCATAAACATTAAAATTTCTTCACAATTGTACACCTTTGACGTAATTACCTGAATTCTACTCACTTTATTTTTCTAGTTGGCATAAATCCTTTAACCTGTAGAATATTCGTGTAATCCTTCTATATTGTAATACTACGTGATGATTAAAGGTGAAATAAAAATCTGGATGACGACAGGACTCGAACTAGTGACCTCTGAGTCACTGGCCCGTTGTATGCTCTACTAACTGAGCTACGAGACCTGACAGTCGGTCAGGTTTTAGTTTCACTGTGGATTCATGCTCCTTTATGGTCGCTTGATCGTTTTCATATTGACTGTCTCGTCAGAACTTCTCATCTCAATCAAAATCTACTTGAATTAGAGAGATGGGAACCATCATATTGATTATCAAGGTGATTTTCTGAGTAGGATAGCCATTTGGTTTAGCAGACTGTGTATTATTGACACTGAGTGATAATGATTGAAGGTGAAATGAAAATCTGAGCAAACTCACTATTATTATTTGTTATTTATCCCTTGGGTTCCTAGTGGAAGACACGGATTCAGTAGCACATCGCCATTTCACTGTCTTCTCTGCAGTCTCTGCAACCTGGCTCCACAACTACCCATAAGCTTTCATTCATTTCTTCCTCACACCATCTCTTCCATGTCACCCTCACCTCGGATGCCCAAGTCGACGGCCTGGTCTGGGGTATGATGTTACTAAACGGTATTCCTTCTCAGTGTATGTCCAATCCATCTACATATTTGTTGGACGATAGCTTCTTGATCAGTTGGTTCGTTGCCAGGTTGGAGTTCTTTGTTGTTTATTCTCTCTGACCATCTGACCTTCAGTATGTAGTGAGCGTAGGCGGTAGTTGTTGATGTGTGTCTGCAGTTTGTTGGAAATGTTTACCATTAGTTCTTCTTCATATCAAAATTATCTTTCTGTTGTCAAACAGCAGGTAACTTTCTAACAAATTAACTTACAAGTACCCCAATATCTTGTGTGTAGATTGATATTAAAATTGTTTTAGGTCTGTAAGTAGCTGATAAAGAACGGGAAAATATAATGGATTTGGAATCAAGGGGGGATCAACCCTGGTGGGTTAGTTGCCGATGAGTTCTCTGCACGGATACAAAAGGCTCGATTGGCTTTTGCCAATTTACGCCACCTATGACGCCGCCGTGATATCCGTTTATCTATTAAGGCTCGCGTGTACTGCACAGCAGTCCGGTCTGTTCCACTGTATGGCTGTGAAACATGGCCATAGAAAGTGGAGGATATAAAAAGGCTTCAGGTGTTTGACCACCGTTGCCTTCGTAGTATAGGACGTATTCCATGGTGTCACCACATGAGTAATGCAGAAGTCAGGTGTAGAGTTTTAGGGAGCAGAGGTAAATCAGTTGACGCAGCTGTGAACCTTCATCGACTGAGATGGTTGGGACATGTGTTACGTATGCCTAGTCGCTGATTGCCTCGTCACATAATATTGGCTGAGGTGGGTCCAGGCTGGAAAAAAGCTCGAGGTGGCCAGACCAAAACATGGCATCAATGTATGAAGTGTTTGACTGTTGGTTTAAGCCATATGAGGCGATGCAGACTAGGTGGTTGGGGTCGGTGGGACAAGAGGAACCAGTGGTTGGAGACTCTAGGTGATATGGCTCAGAAGTGATGTCAGTGGTGCAGATGTATACACACATTATCCTCATCTTAGAGACGCTATACCGAATCTCACCATTTTGTCACTCCTCTTTCCTTTCTTCTCATGCTTTATATTTCTTTCGACTGCATTCACTTATCTTCATCCTTTGCCTCACTACCTTTTTACTTGATGTGCTGATATGAGATGTGGCAACTCGGACCGTTACGCAGTAATGTCTGGTCCTATGTTGATAATGATTGATTATTGATTGAATCAAGGGGGGGTGGGGAATGGAATGAAATATAAATAGATGCGTGGTATATAAGTCTTACTTCAACTTAGTAATCAAGTCTATGTTGGGTATATTCTTACTGATTACCCTATGATTAGAATAGTTAACTGTTTAGTAATACCTGCATTCTCCTATTAGCGTTAATTTGTGACATCAACTACGCTTTATCATCATTCGAGAAAATTTATAGACCTCTATCATGGTTAACTAAACAGTTTCCTTGTGAATTATAGTGACAAACAGTAGACACGTGTTTTGTCCTGTTTGGGACTCATCAGTTAGACGTGTCTGCTTTTTAGTGTGATGATTTTTTCCCTACTGAGATTCAAACTGTGCGCCAATCGCTTCCAACTCTAGAGTGTTAGCCACTCCTTGTGTGACTAATATAGTTTTTATGTTACTGCTTGAAATTGCAGAAGCGTAAATGCCAATAAAGAGGGATCAATTCAGTCCAATTAGCGATAGGAAATTACAAGCAAGTTTTATGCTTCCTGATGATGGTGATGCCCCCCTTGTCACTCTATTATGTGAATGGAAAGTGTTCTTTTTTCATATTTTCTTCTGATTTGTATGACCAGAATACAAGTTTGATGGATGCTTTTGGCACAACTTTATTGAATTTACAACGACCAGTCACGTGTATATTCTTGACAGGATCTAATTTAAAGTCGAAGTAAGTCATTTTTATTGTTATAAAATGAACCAAAGTAAACAAGCTGTAAAGATCTTGTTAAGTATATTTTGTTATAATCTAAATAACTTTTAATTATGATAATTTGGTTGGTTGTGGCTAGTAGAAGAATCCAGGATGCGCGTTTCGTCCTATTTGGGACTCGTCAGCTGGATGTACCTGCACCCCAGTGATGTTGTTCCCACTGAGAACTTGAACCTCGTACCCATCGCTTCAAACGCCAAGGCTTTATCCACTATGCCATGGAGGAACCAACCAAATTATCATAATTAACATCCAGGCAATATCGAGGCATCTGCATAGGAGCCCATATTACCAATAGAGGTTGAACAATTCGATCCAACAAAACAACGGAGAATAACAAGTATGTCAATAAATACTAAGTGACTTTGTTGAATAATTTTCATCTGTTGTGTAATGTTTAGATGTGTTATTACTCAGTTGCATAAACATACTGACTGTAAATGTGAAAAAGGGAAACTGTTAGGGCTTCTTCTACCATGACGTGTTACTTGGGCTTGCATGTTGCAATGATCCAACGAGCTATGCTAGCTGGAACGGTTGTTCCTTGAGTTATTACTACACCAGTAACGTCTGTTAGATTTTGGTAGGACAAAAAGCACTTACCGTTACAATGTGAAATGTTATGCTATGTTGTGGACTCGAGCCCGAAGCCACTGTAAGATTTTTCCTGTTGATAACCATCAATTCATTCTGATATTGTCTTCCTTTTTGGAAAGGAAAGTTAAGAAAAGGTTGGTCGTAGAAATAGCTCACACCTGGTTACCCTGCGGTATGAGTCTTTTCTTGTCCTATGGTAATCGAGTCAAATCTCAGCATAAAACTATGTAGAAAACTGTTTTTGACTGCTATCACACAATATCCATATTTATACTGGATGGTGATTAGAAGTGAAATGGAAACCTACTTAGCGGTAGGTTTCAGATCGGTCGCCTTGGGGTTTTCGTGCCAGCAATCTACCAGTTGATCTATGCGATCCAACTGTCAGATACTTCTGAACTTAAATTCAACCACGAAGGATGTATTCGGTTACTATGTAAATCCATGATACATAACTATCGGTTCATCTTAATCACACTGTGACCCCATCTAGGACTGCTCGTTATAGCATAAATGAAGCCGAATTAAACAGGCGGGGGGGGGTGAGGGGGGTATCGTGTTGATTATGGATTGAGATTTTCACATGACAGCTAGGAAAAGCTTTTGTTCATTAAAGTGAAGTTAACAAGTAACCAGCATTTGGGTCTCCTGATAGATCGCTGAGTTGGTAACCCATTTAGGTCTCCGCTTCGATACCTTCCGCGTCTGAGGTTTTCATTTCACCTCCAATTGTAACCCATTGTGATTAACGTTAGTCTGGCACAAATCATGACTGTCTCAGAGAATCCATACTGATAATAGTAGTAATAGTAGTATTTGCCAACAGAATGTGAGAAATTGTCTGAAGTCATATACACTTATTCATATGCAAAATTCTAATTTAAAGTTTTCACGGTCATAGTTGATTCTAATCTGTTCGTCAGTTATATGAACACATAATGGATAGATAGAGAGATCAAGGTAGAAACTAGCAGGGAATTGCATCTATTCAATTCATCACACTTTACAACAGCATATAGAAATGTATGAGATGTGAGTCCCAGTAGATGAACGTCTGTGATTTCAAAAATGACATTGTCTCTGAGTTTTAGCGATATCACCAAGAGTCTTCAACCATCGACTCATATCTTCCCGACTGACTGACAAAATCAACATAGGACCTTGCACACAGGTGCACCACTTCAAGTTGCCACACTACACAGTAGTATACAAAGAACAGGTGGGTAGAATAAGACTCATATTAAAATAGACAAAGTTTTGTGAGAGAATAAACAATCTGAAGGTAAAGGTTAGTGTAAATATTCAAGCTTCAAGAGATGTGGAGGAGTGAATAGATCTGCGCCATTGTGACCGATTTTTAGCCATGTCACCAAGAGTCCTCAATTAGGCAGTTTTTACATCGTCCCACAGGACTCGGGTCAACAGTAAGTGACTTCATTGACTAGTCCCACGTCTTGTTTTGGCCACCCTGAACCCTCTTCCAACCTATTTCAACCTCCCCGAGCATCGCACGTCGAGATAGGCAGTGGTTCTGCATGTCCAGTACATGTTCAAGCTACCTCAATCGATGTAAGTTTACAACCTCATCAACTGACTTGCCTGTTTTTGCCTAGAACCCTTCACTTAACCTCAACATTTCTCACACAGTGATTCCACAAGACAGAAAGAGTGCTGCAAAGACATATGTGATAAAATATATGTAATCGCTTCATATCTGCTTGGAACGGCCATATCTCACAGCTATTTAATAGGACAAAATGGACTCCAGTGCAGTATACTCTTCCTTTGATAAGTGGTCGAATATCTCGCCAGTCGGTGCCACAAATGACCCACGTTGACAAATGCTAGACAGGCCTTCTGTATCCGAGCTGAGATTTTGTCAGCAATCAGCCCGTTCGGGCTAATGCAACTCCCCGAGTAAGTGAAGTGATCAACATATTTCACCTCTTCACTCCATGTCATTAAACTGGGGGTGGTTTCAGCCGACCAGTCATGGAGCTTCATCTTACATTTACAGGTACGATGTGCATACTAGTCAAACATACTGAGATTTCTGCTCAGTGTTTAGGAGACACTGGATATCAGTACTAAACGTAGGTGAAGCACGACTTTCTGTCAATTGCTTTCCACCATGTAACAGGTTGTAGCCCCTCGCTAAGTGTTATATAAGTAAGTAAGTAAGTTTGTTACATAAGCGTCAGCTCTTTAAATTTCACAGTTCATCACTCAAATCTCAGAAATTCACTTCATTATCATCTATAGTCAGTAACGATAAATTATTTGTTCACTTGTCTATCTTGTTTACTCATTTACTCTTCTAGGAATTCGTCATCATCATCGTCGTCATTGTCAGCATTCAATTCTTCTTCATCTATGTCAATTAATGAATTATGCATTGAACTACAATTAAACTGGGGTGTACACAGTACACGTATCACTTCCAATCTTCATGATGTGGCTATGATTTTGAGTGCATTCACTCGATCATTGGCAGACAGACAATTTAAGTAAGCCTTCATGTCAATCACCTTTATCATAAGGCGATTTTTTCTTCCAAGTTGATTTTCATCAATGAGTTGACATCAGTTTTGAAGAACCATTGGAAACTTTGAGAGCATCAGCGAGCTGTTTTATCCAAGTATGGTACTCTTCATCAGTGTACACACACACGACTCCGTCAGAGATCGAACCCAGAACCCTCACAAATTGTGATGAACACTTCGTCATTGAGCCACTTGGTCTGACCCCGATGGTCCACATTTCTTTTAATTCTGTCAATTTGCGATAGGGTACGATTTTCATCCATTACCAGTGTTGACTGTTTTCCCGCATATCCAACTTGATTTGTCCTGATGATCACGACTTCAATCCCTTATGGAGTCATGGGTGTGCACTACTGAGGAGTCCCATACTAAGACGAAACAACTGTCCAGTGCTCTCAAGTTTTCAGTGGTTCCCCAACATTGACATCATTCCATGATTAATACCCTTTTAAGATTCATAAGATCCCAAAAACCTCCAAATTCAATTTTTATTGAAAATCAAATTTTTTGTCACATTTCCGTCCTTCTTACTTAGTGACAAGTTGATCGTAACACTATGCTTTGTCGGTCTAGCTTACCTAATGATAACCCAAAATCTATGTAGGCCATGGTATCGAATGGATAATATATGTGCGGAAAATAACTGGAAATGTTCAAGTAGCTCTAAAGGCTATTATAACAACCAATCAGAGTTCTGTATTTTGCGGAGGGGGACTTCGTTTCCAGTTGAAATAAAGAGACCCAATTGGTTACTTCATTCATCGTTAGGTTGACCTTTAAAGTCATTTAAATTTTCAAGGCCTAGATGGAGTAGGTGGTTGGATTAAGTCGTCTTAAATAAGAGAGTGCTTAACGGACAGACTAAGGTCACACATACGCCATTGGTTGACTGTTTGTGTCAGTCCTCAGAAGTGTGGTTATTGGTTAACTGATCATGGATATAACAGTTTCCAATGCAATAGCATGTTGAAATTACGATTGGATAATTGAGAGGAAAAATGCATTCAGCTGTAAGAAATTTCGACAGATCATGAAAATCACAAGTTATAAAGTCACTTACATCCCATTCTAATGCAACATATATCAAATCATAACGACCACTGAGCACAGAGTCGCATTGGATCATCTAACTGCCCAATCGCAATCGATAACATCAACAGACAAGATAAGGAAAATGTTGACACTAAGAATGGGAGAAAAATACAACGTTTACAAGCTTCATTATTAACATAACTGTTTACAGTCGTGCTCCACATTAAATAAGGTGCTGTCAACGAAATTATACCATATCTGAGGCTCACAGTGAGTAGTTGTAGATTGTCTGGAGGTTCATATAGAGTGAATTCGAAAGTTTTGATTCCCAGACTTTGACCATTTCGAAAATAACTTCAGATATAATTTGTTCAACATAAATGGTATTTCTGCTTGACAAAATTTACAATAACAATCACCAGAAATCAAAACATTGTTATAAATTTTACTACTGATGTGAACATGCAAGTTTTCGTTTTTAAGTAGTTTTAAACAGTTGCCAAGTTTCATGTTTGCTAGCACTTGTTAGCAAGGCATATATCTATAACTTTGAAGGAACTGATGTCCTTTCAGAGAGCTAAACTTGCATTTCCCAGTGCTCTGAACTCAAATGTTATTTGAAACGTGCTCCTAAAGTTAACAAGTCCCATCCATTTCAAAGAGCATATGATTTCGTTAGTTTATAGGTGTAAAATTGTCTGCGAGTAAAATATCCTTCTAGTCAACGAAATCTCAACAGCGAGAATACATAAAATTAATATTTTGTATGTTTCTCAAGGTCTCGACACTACCGTTTAATATGTCACAAAATAGACGGAGTAATGAGCAGTCAAACGAAAACTTTCAATCAATTCATTCATTATTTTCAACGAAAAGTATTGTGCTGGAAGTAGCCAAAACAGAAATCAGCATTTTAGGTCACTGACCACTAATGCAGGAGTGTCTGACCTTGAATTCATGACCTTTGCTGTCGTACGTGGTCAAAGTGACCTTGACGAGCAGACTGGCATTTCACTGGACCAATATAAATAATTCATTTATTTAGAAGTAGTATTCATCATGGACTGACATCAGTTGGGGAACCATTGAAAATCTGGAAGCACTGGACAGCTATTTCGTCCTAGTATGGGACTCCTCAGCAGTACGCACCCACCACCAGTCTAGGGATCGAACTCAGGACTTTCAAGTTTCACGGTGAACGCGCTAACCATTCAGCCACTGGGTTGGTTTCCAGTGGTTCACAATTTCCAACTTCTATCAATTCACAACATAGCGCGACTATGAGAAGCCGTCACCTATGGGGTCAACCAGTCGGAAGTGAAGTGGATGCTAACTGAACACCTTGGGTGACAGTCGCGCTATGTCGTGAATTGACAGAAGTTGGAAATTGTGAACCACTGGAAACCGACCCAGTGGCCGAATGGTTGACGCGGTCGCCGTGAGACCTGAAGGTCCTGAGTTCGACCCCCAGCCGGGTCGTGGGTGCGTACTGCTGAGGAGTCCCATACTAGGACGAAACAGCTGTCCAGTGCTACCAGGTTTTCAATGGTTCCCCAACTGATGTCACTCCATGATGAATACTACTTCTAAATTAAAAATCCCCATTCATCTCAAAAATTCATTTATTCTTTTTCCCAGAGTATTTTTGTTTGCTAAGAATTGTTCTTGCTGTCACGCACGAGGTATTGTCTTCTGATATTTTCAAAGCTCAATGAAGCATAAAACGTTAGTGAAGAGAATTCATTGTTCATGCACCGTTCGAGTATATTCATGCATTCAACATCTTTATTTGCTTAATTGAATCCACGAATCCATTCAATGACGTTGTGTGGAGCTTGCTTCAATCATCCATTATTTACAATGTGAATAATATTTTTATCCTAGCCATTTATTTAATTTACAGACATGGACGCCTAGAACGTGATGAAGGCTTAGCTTTCCATCCAGATAATGTGCATAAAGGTTTAAGTGGTTGTGCTTTACGTGGTCGTGGTCCTGGTAGACCACCAATAAATGATCCAGAAGGATTTATTGATCAACAACAAGCCGTACATTCATGGGCTAATCGTGTATGGCTATCACAATTGGGTCAATGGCGTGGATTGACTGGAGAAATAGCTTATGCTATAACTTTGGTGTATCCGACTGCACGAGCATTTTATAATGCTTGCAAATCAGCTGAAATGTGTACAATTCGTAGTCAAGGTAAGCAAAGTTGGTTCGATTCTCTTCCTCTTAAAACTGACAAACTCAATTTAGCGATCATGTATAGATCCACGAATAGCAGTTGAACTCCCTTCAACAGTAATTTGGGTTTTGTTGAATTTAGGGGAGGTTTTGGGGGAGTTAGAGATTTTTCAAGTTGGTACTCATCATGGACTGACATCTATAAATCCCTACAAACCCCCCAAATTCAATTGAATTAGTACTCATTGGTGACTAGCTTCGAGAGGGTGATTTCTGAAGTTCCAGTGAGAAGTCATGACCAGTGGGGAAAACCTAGTGGTCGTGAGGATAAATACTCAGCGATGACATTGAGTGGCGGTCGCACTATGCCGTGAACTGACGGAAGTTGGAAATATGAACCATTGGATTCCAACCCAGTGTTTCGATGGTAACGTGCTGATCATGGAACCTGGAGGTCGCGGGTTCGATCCCTGGTGGGGTCGTGGGTGTGCACTGCTGAAGAGTTCCATACTAGGATGAAACAACTGTCCAGCGCTCCCAGGTTTCCAATGTTCCTCTGACAGATATCAGTCCATGATGAATACCAACTTGAAAAAATTTGGGTTTTATTAAATCATAAAATAAACTCAGCAGTTAAGGTTTTGTGTCTAACAGGAGATTTCAAGATGTGTGTTTTGTCCTAACTCGAACTCCTCAGCTGGTGGATGTACACCTGCCTCCTAGCTACTGATGTTGTTCCCAGTGAAATCTGAAGTCAACACTCATCGCTTCAGTAAGATAATTAAAACTACACAAGATTATGATTAATAATAATGAGGATACTATTTGCTGCCCCCCCTCCCCTTGAAAATATTCCACCCTCGAAACTTAGGCGAAGCTTGAGGTCAGTTTTCTAAGCACTAACGACTAGACAGCTGTATTGGTGATCTGTTGGGGGGGGGTCATTCATGTTTTCAATGGCTTCAGAGTTAACTCTCTGATGTCGATCATGAATGAGACGAGTAAGGATCACCTAGGCAAATTCACTTTGCTCATCGTTGCAGATCCAACAAGCACGAAAAGCAGGTCAAATGAGGTCACCTAAACCTGCTCAAGTTTTTTCTCGTATCCTGTTGTTCGGCTATGAGACATAACCGTTAAAGGTAGAAGATATGAAGCGGTTATAGGGTTATGATCACACGTGTCTTTGTAGCATTGCTCTCATTTATTAGGATCATCGTATGAGCAATGCTGAAGTCAAGCGAAGGGTTCTAGGCAAAAATAGTCAAGTCTGTTGACGAGGTTGCAAGCATGCATCGATTGACGTAGTTTAGAAATGTACTACGCATGTTGAACCACCTCCTATCTTGATGTGCCATGCTCGGGGAAGCTGGATTAGTTTGTTAGAGGGTTTAGGACGACTAGACCAAGACCTGGCACCATTCAATGAAGTCCCTGACTGTTGGCTTGAGCCGTGTGGGTAGATGTAGACTGTCTGTTTGGGGTCCTCAAGACGATGAGAATCAATGGTTGAGATGGTTGGAAATTGGTGTCAATTGTGCAGATGTATTCACTCTGTTTGACGTCTTCTAAAGCTTGAATATTCACACTAACCTCTTTATCTTCAAATCGTTTATTCTGTTACACATCATCGTCTACTCTGATATCATTCTTTTCTATCCACCTGTTGTTTGTGTACTTCTGTAAAGTGTGGCAACTTGAACGAATGTATCTGTGTGCAATGTCCTAAGTGAGATTTTCTCTATTTATCTATGTATTCTGGTATTTTTCCACTACTCACCGTCATCAACCAACTACTGAATAAATTCAAAATGTTTACAATACTTCATTCATACAATGAACTTGTTAGACGTTGGATAACCTAAGATAAATTAAAAATTGATTTGTTGATGGGTTCCATTGATGAAATGTTGAACTGCGATAATCTTGAGGTTCCATCCATCCAAATCGACATAGAACCAGGCATTACTGCGTAACGGTTCGAGTTAGCACACCTCATATCAATCAGTATATCAAATAAAAAGGCAGTGAGGTGAAAGATGAAGATAAGAAAATCCAATCAAAAGAAATATAAGATAGAGAAAGGGAGAATGAGAAAATGGTAAGATTCGGTATAGAGTCTTTAAGATGAAGATAATGTGTGTATACATCTGCACCACTGACATCAGTTCTGAGCCATATCACCTAGAGTCTCCAACCACTGGTTCCTCTTGTCCCACCGACCCCAGCCGGCTAGTCTACATCGTCCTATATGGCTTAAACCAACAGTCAGAGACTTCATACATTGGTGCCATGTTTTAGTCTGGTCACCTCGGCCCTTTTTCCAGCCTTGACCCACCTCAGCCGACATTGTGTGATGAGGCAATCGGTGACTAGGCATACGTAACACATGTCCCAACCATCTCAGTCGATGAAGGTTCACAGCTGCGTCAACTGATTTACCTCTTCTCCCTAAAACTCTACACCTGACTTCTGCATTACTCATGTGGTGACACCATGGAATACGTCCTATACTACGAAGGTAACGGTGGTCAAATACCTGAAGCCTTTTTATATCCCCCACTTTCAATGGCCATGTTTCACAGCCATACAGTAGAACAGACCGGACTGCTGTGCAGTACACACGACCCTTGATAGACAATCGGATATTACGTCGGCACCACAGATAGCGTAAATTTAGACTCTTCAGTTATCCATTTTAGACATTTTGAAGAATCCAAATGAGACGCCTACACTTCGACGCATAAGCGGATCAACGTTCAAGGAACTCACTGATAGGTTATTACTATGTATTGATTAGTGAGAATCATTATCAACAACATTGGACCAGGAATTACTGCGTAACGGTCCGAGTTGCTACAGCTCACATCAGTACATCAAGTAAAAAGCAAGCAAGGGAAGGAGAAAGAAAGAAATTCAGCCAAAAGAAATATAAAGTACTGAAAGAGAGAAAGGAGAAATGAGAAAATGGTGAGGTTCCGCATAGCGCCGTAAGATGAGGATAATGTGTGTATACATCGGTTCCCAGCCATATCACCTAGTTATCACATAATAAGTGTGACTGTTAGCCTAATGTGTCAGACTTAATATTACTACTTGTCAATCAATAACACCTGATCAAATGGGTGGGACTCGAACTCACGGTCCACCATTTGAAAGTGTCTAAACCAATGATTTACGCCTTCAAATCATACTTATTATCTTATGAATACCAATCTTCCAGTTTGAACACAATAACGCCAAAAGACAGACAAGTACCCTATCACATAAACTCGAAAAAAAATGTTTTTTCACGAAAATAGATATACTGAGAACTTCAGTGAAAAAGAATATGAGAAGACTGAATGAATGCACCGACTTATTTCCAACCGTGAGTAGAGGAACCTTCAGTGTAGGAGAGGTAATCACACTGAAATTATCACTAACCAACTACAAGAAACATAAACACACAGAGAAACATCTCCGAGGGCAATTCTGAGGTTGATTGACTATCATTACAACTAGCATCATCATTCAGAGACAGGATTCCCCACATGTTCACATCACAATATGTGAATTGATCGAGTGAATAACCATGATAATAATAAATACGCCAACGGTGCTAACACAATGAGTTTGCATACGAATAACAACTGTTCCTTCTCTCTCTGTCTCTCTCTCTCACAACCTTATACTTCATTGAACCGTGAAAATATCAGAAGGTAAAGACTCACCTGTAACTGTAAGGAAGACACTTTATTCGACACACAAGCACACTATTTATTTATGCTTTTCATGAACACATAAAACGAATATATCAAAAGTTAAATAGCTTATTCTGATTGGTCAACTGTAGAATAAAATTGTCCAATAAGGTTTTACCTGACCACACAGTAACATGAAGCGAAAAGTGAAATAGAAAAACTTCTACCTTAGCCACTGATGACATAAAATGTTGAATTTTATTAAGACTGTTTTTATCAACGTGGATTTATAAATCGATCTGCTTTTGAGGATTATATGGGATACACTAGGAGGTGTTTTGAGGTTATTGCTTTACATCTTGTATAACGAAGTTTTTCACTCAACACCTATCGTTATCACCCATCAGAGTCTATTTAACTGTCAGTAAATGATTGGGACTAACAGATTTAACTGAAAAAAAGCAGAATATGAATCGAAGTCATCAAAAAGATGGTGATAAATCATCAATATTAGATTGATTGATTGACGTTAAAAAAAGTATTCCACGAGATTGTTGGAGCACAAAGAGCCCACGTACCAGCATTTGAAACTAGCTGTTCTTCTTGACCTGAAGGCGATATTAGAATCCATCGATTAAAAAGCTATATGACAGTGTCTTTCACTGAACAGGATACCGGATAAATACATCAACCTGTTGAAGTCTGTCTCTTTAGACACTTTTGGACGAGCCATAGATCCTATGAATGCGGTATCGGGTAACTTGTGTACACTGAGCGATGTCCAACTCCCTCTGACTTTACACCAATTGATCTCGTTACAGGAGACTCCTTAGTAGAAATAAAGCTTGTAGATGACATATTCCAGTCAGGTTAAGAGTTTACTGTACACTTGAGAATGTTTACGATGCATTTCTCGCCATTCAAATGTTGACTATTGTTCCAGAACCGGTTTTCTCTGGTGCATTGTTTAACAATAGAGAGTGAAATGGTTGAGCGTGTTGACCACTTCACTTATCTAAGAAGTTGTATCAGCCACGATGAGTCTTTGACCATTGAAGTTTCTGTATGGATGCGAAAGACTCAACTAGCTTTCGCTAACTTACATCATTTATGGTGCCGCTGTGATATCCAATTGCCTATTAATGGTTGAGTATACTGCATATCAGTCTCCCCTCTTCTATTGTATGATTGTGAAATATCTTCATTGAAGGTGAAAGACATTGCGTTCGTAGCATAGGTCGTGTGTTATGGTGTCAGCACGTCAGTAACACAGATATCAGGCGTAGAGTCTGTGGTAAAATAGAGGTGAGTTAGCTGATGAAGTTGTTCAGCTTCATCTACTCAGACGCCTGAGACGTATGTTACGCATACCCAGTCATTATGTACCCGGTCGCAAAATATCTGAACTAAACTGAAGTGTTGTTGAGTCTTCACTAATAACATCGACTCTCAGTCACATCATCACATACCACCGATTCAGGTTGCCACTACATTTCCCTACACAGCTCAAACGAAAAAAGTCAGTGACTTCATGGACTGATGCTGTGTCTTGGCCTGACGGTCTTTAACCTTTTACCAACTTCAATGTAGTTCAGATGATATTTTGCGACTGGGTACATAATGACTGGGTATGCGTAACATACGTCTCAGGCGCCTGAGTAGATAAAGCTGAACAACTTCATCAGCTAACTCACCTCTACACTAATAACCTTTCAATTGGTGTACATGTCATCTCCATCTCTGTTGCGCTGGATTGGGTACCAGTTATGCACAGCATTTCACAGTTTCACGTATGAACATTTTCTTACCATCAAAATGAACCTTTATTCTGTTGTAGTGAATAATATGCATGACGGTCGCTGGTTCAAATCCCGCTGTGGCCCAAATCTTCATTTCATCTTCAATCGTCACCCGGTATAAATACTACGAGTCTGCCAAACTACACGGCTATCTCACTTAGAGAGTCAAAATAATAATCAATGTGATGCTCTCCCCTCTCTAATTTAGTTAGATTTGGATTAATGATGAGAAGTCCTGAATGGAAGATCAAGCAACTATTTAGGGGGAAGGCCGCACAAATTCACATGACAGTAGAATAAAACCCTTGGTGATTAAAGTGAAATAAAAATCTGACCAGCAATCGGGTCTCATAGCTTAGTTGGCAGAGTACAGCTTCCGGTAACGTGGAAGTCGCTGGTTTGACAACCCCACTGTCAATCACACAAGTCTGCCAAACTACATCTGTCTCAAATAGTCGAAATGAAGGGGTGAAAAAACTCTCAATAAACTGGTATGACTTGTTAAAATTAGTTCTTTGCCACTGGAAAACAGTTTTTCGCTTCAAAAGTTGACCGTCATTACATAGATCGCTTACTTAAGTATTGATTTTGTGGAAGTATATTCCATTTATTTGTCTAGTCATCCAATCACTTATTATTCCATTGCCATTTCGTTCCCACCATGAGATTGAATCTCAGTCAAGGTGAAGTGAGAAGTCAGTGTGAATTTGGCGTGGTGAATATCTTTCTAGGTAATTTCAAACGATTTATTGCTTGTGATTTTCTATCGTTGATTGAAATGAATTCATCAGCCACTGTTGTTATATGGGCTTCTGTGCATAGATGCCTTCATGTTCTATGGCTACCAGTAGAATCCAGGACGGACGTTTCGTCCCATCTGGGAGTCGTTAGCTGGTTGTGCCTGCCTCCCAGTGACTGGTGTCTCCTGGGTCCGGCTCCTGGCGGGAACAACATCACTCACTGGGGTGGAGGTACATCCTGCTGACGAGTCTTAAGTGGAACGAAACGTGCGTGCTGGATTCCACTGGTAGCTGTTTCTTTTCCAAACTTATTCTTATTAGGAAAGACAGTTGAGTAGATTTATGTTATGTTTTCGAAGCGCTAATGGTATATGTATATATTCCGAAACGAATATAATACGCGCGCTTAGCTGACAGCTAACTTGGTACGCAAGAGTCACTGACTGCAACCCCGGGACGAACAGAGAGAAGACCGAAGCTGGCAGATGGGAGAGTGTATTAGTCCCAGAATATAATATAATAACAATGAATCAATCCAAAACACGTGAATAAGTATACACATGGAAATGACCTTGTCCGCAATTGGAGAAATTCGCATAGTAAGAGTAAAAGTTAACCAATCAGCAGATCACATTACAATGGAGGCAGAAAATAGACTATTAGGCATGCCGTAAAAATGGTGTGGGAATGACACGTTAAAATGTTCAGATCAATAACAATGTTTTATACAAGACTGAGGCATCACAACAATTTATTCCAGTTGGTTTCAAATAAGTTGGTAGTGAAGATGGTATGTTTACCAGTGAAACTCATGCTGTTTCACTAACTGCATATCAACTCAATGGTTAAGTAGCAAACTGCTCACCGCAGAATCTTATCATCACGGTCTCAATCCCTCAGGGAGTTATGTGTGTGCTCACTTCTGAAGAGTCCCAAAGTGGGACAAAACAGCTCTCTAGTTTTCCAGTAGTTCTCAATTAGATATCAGTCTGTGATAGAAAGTGTTTTGACGAAATCAGTAATCCCTCCCTACAGATTATTCGGTCGTTGATAAATCAGATTTCTTTTCTAGACATTTCACAGTTTTTTTTTTCCTCTAACTGATAGATATTGAAATGCTTATTTTCTTCTAGGCTGTGACCAATCATATCCAGTGACAACAACATTATCGTCAAGTGATAAATGTTTGAATCAGAAATCCGTACATCCATTCGAAGCGGAATTGGCTAACTTGGAAATACGTCGTGGTGCTGGTGTATTGTCATCACGAAGACGTTTAGGTCCTGAACTTGCTAGACGTCTGATTAAACTCTTCACATCGAATAATCCATATGAAGTGATCAATTAGCTTATCAGAACCAGATATTTTATTGATTTATTTTTATACTACTGTTAATAGTAGTAAAATGATCTATGAGGTGAATTTTATGGTATTAGGGCACTTTAGGCATTTTTCTACTTAGGTCAGATTTTGTATACAGTAAATATCTTGAGGATAAATTTCACTTGTTCTAAACCATTTCTACATGGGTCTGTGTTCGACGGAGATAATTAACATACTTGGATTTGTTCGGTTACTCATTTTCAAGTTTGTTCAGCCGTTAACTTGTATATGGAAGTGAAGGCCATGTGTTTTGGCCTCCGACTTCTGAGCCTGTCTATATTCTTCAAGAAGTTACTTATTTACTTGTATGACTCATATCTCTTCGCTGCCTAACTCAGCGTATTGTGTTAAGCAAATGGGAAAGGAAGAAACAAGGCTACAGTACCAATCCATGAGGTCTATGTCTGTAAAACAACTGATGACATCTAGACCCCAATTATTACTATTATTATTTGTCCCTTGGGTTCCTAGTGGAACATACGGATTCAGTAGCATGTCTCCATTACACTCTGTTCCTCCCACTCTTTTCAACATGGCTCCACCAATGACCACAAACTCTCATTTCTTCCTCACATGATCTCCTCCATGTCACCCTCAGCTGGGACGCCTAACTCGTCGTTTCCCATCTGAGTTCCATTCGAGTGCCTGGCCTGGTGCGTGATGTCTCCGAATGGTCTTCTCAGTGCATGCCCGATCCAATCCATCTCCATTTTCTTCTGCATATTTGTTGGGTGATAGGTTGTTGGTTAGTTCGTTGCCAGGTGAGAGTTAGTTCCTTGTTGCTTATTCTCATTATTCTGGCCATCTGAGCTTCAGTAACGAGTGAGCGTAGGCAGCAGCTGTTGATCAATGTCTGTAGTTCGTGACGATCTAGACCTCAATAGAACTGACATATATGAAACTTATAGTTTCACTACAACTATACGAATATATATTTGTAGGAGGTACTGTAACAACAGATATTGCTAAAACCGCCTCCATTTGTGACAGACAGATAAAATCAGCATTCAACTTCGCACCCAAGTGCATCATTTCAAGTTGCCACACTTCACAGTAGTATACAAAGAACAACTGGATTAAAAAACTGATATAAAAGTAGAAGGAGATATGTGAGAGAATAAACAATTTGAAGATAACGGTTCGACAGACAGAGTGAATGCATCTGCGCCATTGTCACTGATTTCCAGCTATCTCAACCACTGATTCCTATCGTCTCGAGGACTCCAACCAGACAGTTTTCATCGCCCCATACGGCTCAAGCCAACAGTCAGGGACTTCATTGAATGGTGTCGTCCTAAACCCTCTAACAAACTAATCCAGCTTCCCCGAGCATGGCACATCAAGATAGGAGGTGGTTCAACATGCGTAGTACATTTCTAAACTACGTCAATCGATGCATGCTTGCAACCTCGTCAACAGACTTGACTATTTTTGCCTAGAACCCTTCGCTTGACTTCAGCATTGCTCACACACTGATTCTACTTACCGCAAACGATGCTACGAAGATATCTGTGACACTATTCGATATCCCCTGAGTTGTATGATACTCAACCAGACGTAGTGCTTTCCTTAGTACTAACTTAGAATGAAAAACTAGATCAGTTTAGAGCTAAAAGGAGAGTTCAACTAACTTCTGAATGAAATCCTAACATCCAAGCAAATTACACACATATATTCCTTCTATACACCCAATAATCATCGTCAAAGTAACGTATTAATAGCCGATCGGACCATTCAAATGCAAAAAAAGTCAACTCTATAGCATTTCACACGACTGGTCGTGGGTTCGAGTCCCCGTCAGGATAATATGATTCATTGGGGGGGGGGGGGGGGTAGCATTTACATCTACTTGACGAGTCCTAAATAGGGAGAAGCATGCATTCCTGATTTCACTGCTAATCACTATTCATCGGCAATATTAAGACCTCCAGTCAGTAGTTCATTTGCTAATTGTCACCGATCAATTCAATCTAATCGACGAAGGAAAATCACAAGTTATTCTTCTACTTTACGGAGATTTACTGATTTCAATTTGTTATTCATTATCATCATCATCTTACTGATGTCATGTTCATGATAAATATCATCTTGGAATTCATTCATTTTGGGTCAGTTTAATAGTAGACCATTTTTTTAATTTTTGACCTTCTACCTTGGATACAATTGTGATTGGTTAATCTGAGACCTTGAGAGGTTGAGCTGATGCGCATGAGTTCAGTATTTCCATACTTAATAGTTGTTTTTCTGTAAACTTTTTCATTCTGATAAATGTTTTCTCTAATAGACATTGTAATATTTCGTTAAAACAGCCTATAGTATGTTTTTCTGATGTAAATATTGCTTCTTGCCGAGTTGCCAATGTTTACTGCAGGCAAAACTCGTTATTTTTGTATTTCCAGTTGCAATGACTGCGGACATCACTTAGGTATTTGATAGTGTAATGCCCACTCATCAGTACTCAAGATGGATTCAGATCCTCGATATACTTGAAAAGTTGCAGGAAGTCTGTATCTTAGTGTTTCTAAAACTCTTGTAGTATACCTGGACTCACTACATAGTTATAAGCATTTGGCTCCGTATTTATAATATAGAAGAGGATGAAAAAAAATGGTTAGTTTCGATGTAACAAGTTTTTATACTAAAATACCAATCATTATGGCACTGGATGCAGTCAGAAATCACCTAAATGTTGACTCAGAACTTACTCATAGAACTAAGATATCGGTTGATGAGATCATTATTAGGCCTACACTTGTGACTGACCTCCACAATCTTCAAGTTTCAGGACAAAATATGTAGACAAACAGGAGTAGCAATGAGGTAGCCAATATCCCCAGTCGAAGAAGATATATTTATGGATAGTTATGAAAACATGACATTAAGAAGATTTAATCCTGCATCTACGATATGCTGGTGATATGTGGATGACACATTTACCACTGTGTTGAAATCGGAACATATCAACAATTTCCTAACACATATAAACTGAGTAGTAGGTGCAATCCAAATCACTTATGAAGTAGAAAATGAACAAGGAGAATCACCTATGTTGGATTGCAGAATAAAAAGAAGGACACATGTTGACTGGTTTGGATACACATTCCAACAGATATCTAAACTTCAGAACATCGTATTCGACGTCAGTGAAGGCGCGTTTAGTCAAATGTCTAATTGATAGAGCTAGGAAACTGATTAGTCAGTGCAAAAAACCTAAACAAGGGACTGAAGCACATAAAAGAAACACTAACAGTTAGTAGTTAATGTAGGAAACAAAATAATAACGGTAACACGAGTACGAATAATAACGACAACATGAGTAGAAACGAGTTCACAGCCTCCATTGTGTTACCTTATAAAGAAGGTACATCAGAAACTTTACATAGGACCCTCAACAAGGCTGAAATTAGTTGGCATTTATATTTACATACTCAGAGATAAGCTTTGTCGACTATCTTAAGGAGCCGATAGAACCAATTAAGCAAAATAATATATAATCTATCAAATTCCATGTAATGACTGTGAGTCAGGTCAAATACATAAGTGAAACTAGCCAGTTGGGGTCAGTTAGATTGTTGGAACATAGGAATTTACCTGAAAGTAGAACGACAGACCCCAATAAGATCAATAATCTAGAAAAGCACTTGATTATTGCAATGGATGTATAAACACACAACTACATAATAGAATAGCGTGGGATTAAGCCACTGTACTTAAGTCCAATATAATTAGGTGGAGAGAGAGAGGGAAAGATTGATTACCGAATCTTTGTTCATCGAATCAATACGCAATACATGTAATAGAAATGATACAACAACTATACCAGAGATATGGAATGACAGGACTTTAAGATTCAGATGTTGAAAGTAGTATGATTACATTGATATGAATATGAGCAATGATGATTGATACTGGAAACGTCGTCATCCAGTAAATGCCACTATATCACTCACTGTGTGTTATAAATCAAATGAACAAATCTCATATTGAATTAAATTCTACCGCAGTGCCCAAGTTTTACATCGATATTAATTAAGAAATCACTTTACCAGCCAATTTAAGATGACACAACGGAGTCTGTGAACTCCTTTCCTTCCTTTCTACTTGTGTTGTCGTTATTATTCGTACTTGTCTTACTGTTATTATTTCGATTGTGATATGTTCATAAGAATTTCTTATTGAACGATAGAGGATAATTATTAATTATCAACGATTGTTTTATATACTTCAGTTTCCTGTTTAGGTCCTTGGACTGACTAGTCAGTTTTATAGCTCTATCACCTAGACATTTGACTGAGCCTGACTTAACTGACATTGGATGAGATGTTACTTAAGGCAGGTTTAGACAGTTAGATTAGCGGAACATAAAAATTTAGCTGAATGTAGAATGATAGACCCCGATAAGATCAGTAATCTTGAAAAACATTCGGCTATTGCAATGCAGGCATTAAGTGCACACAATAGGATGGGTAGGATAGGACCACTATACTCAAGTCCAATATAATTAGGTGGAGAGATTGACACATGTAAGCCAGTCTTACAGGAGGTCAATCGCTGCCTGAATAGCTCAGTGGTAAAGTCACTGACTACAACACTGGGTGACGTGGGTCCGAATTTCAGGCGAGACATCAGTTCCGTTGAGGTTGCAGATACGCCTTGCTGACAAGTGCTGAAAGGCACGAAACCTAGATCTAGGGCTTCCTACCGATTGCCTCCAACCAATTAACATCTGGTAATGTGCACCATGATGCTGAGCTTCCTAGTTTGGTTGCCATATTGTAAATATGATCGATCGATAGGATTCGGTCTGCACTTAGGACTAAACAACATGAAATTGGTTGTACTCCCGTGACCAATTAATACATATCATTGAATTGGATAACAAGGTCAATATGAAAACAGCCTTCAAGATATTATACAGGAAGAATCAGGGGCGAATACTGAAATTTGCCAAAGCGTTAGCCATTTGTAAACTTAAGCCCCAACAGTTTATTGTTTCATTCAATTTACCTTGGTAATTCTTATCATATATTACCAAGACTAGTGTTGTCATAACCTTTTCATACTTATTACATTGACTTGACAAGTGAATTGTGTTGGGGATCAGATTGTTCAAAATTGTTTTGCACAAATACACATCATATTTTTCACATAATCTTCAT